GTTCAAACAGCCGTATGCTCGTTCAAACTGTCGTCTCCTTGTTGAAACTCGTTCAAAGTGTCGTCTCCTCAATCAAACCACAGCGGCCAGTAGACCAAACGTTACGATAGGAAGTAAGTGCAGGCCTCAAAAGACTTTGAAGTTTAAAGGTTGTTTGGGGTAAGTAGGCTCAGTGTAAACAGTAGATACAATAAGATGTTGATCATTGTTTTCAGTGGCCGTCACCGACTTGTTACCGTGTACCTGATTTACTTGGTCTGACTGTGCTTGTGATTTTCAGTATCGATGTCGAGTATCGCAGCTACCCTCCATGCTTTTGCAGCCCGAGCAACGTCGCGGCTGAAAACACTGAGCAGAATCTCATCATGTGAATCTGGCTCTATAGCGTCCATTCTGAGGCGTTCACACGGTATGAATCGCCGGACGTCACATTATTTACACGACATTTTCCGGTGTAACGAGCTTCGTTAATTTCGCTCAGGCCATTAAAGTGGTAAGACATTTCTGAAGGAGTAGAATCAACAATTCCAATGTGAAAAATAGCACGGGACACACACCGACACCGACAACATCACATCTGCATGTGGTTTGTTGATATGGGACGCGGCAATTCTTGCCCACACTTCATCGCGCATGCGCGCCGCTGGTGGCGTGTCACTGGGGGCGCTCCAGTTTGTTTGTAAGCATGAGTTGCGACAAGAGAGAAAATGGGAAAATGCTACCGCCGCTTTCCTTCTTGCTGAGTACTTAGGAGCGAGCGGAAGACCCGGATGGACGCCTTGGGCGCGAGTGTTGCTCCAAATTCGGTCGTTTTCTTCGCGAATTCTTCTATTTCTTTTGCTTCCAGATTTATTTAGAGCTAGCGAATTCAATGACGACAATCCCCTGGTCATCAGGACACCATTGTGCGGTAGGCTGCACGAATAACAACCGAAATCGCAGAGTATTATGGGAGGACACCTGTATCCTGCACGGGATCGGACAAGGCAACTGGGGCTGCATTGCCTTCAAACTCCGTCGCTTTCCAAATGATCAAAACCTTCGGCGGCAGTGAGTTGCGTCCGTAAGCAGAAAAGACGTTTCCCAACCGCCATTCTCTCGAGTATGCTCTGAACATTTCGGGAATAGAGCGCGCACCCAGCTTACCACCCTACCGTCGATGAACATAGGCTACGCTCGCAAGGTGGGTGCAAGTTTTCTCGTGAGAATTGCTGTTTCAGCTTGTAACTTTTCGCAACTTAATTTATATTAATGTGGTGACATTCACTCGATTTTGTCATCTACAACGCTTAGTTGAAGGCTCATTTGCGCGCCGCCGGGTGTGGATTGAAGTTCTCGAAAAGTTAGTTCAATCTGTTTTGTTTAATCGCGATCTTCTGCACGATAGCAGAGAGCCCTGAAGGACCCAGTAACCACGCGAGTGGGTTTTTTATTTCGCAAATTAGTGCATAGCGTAGCCGGAAAGAAAACTTCAATTTCAATTTCTGGAACCTGCTCATGCATCGATTTTGAATCGTTGAGTCATTGATCGACTCGCTCCGGCATTAGGCCAACCTCGGCTTCGGTGTTTCAGTTCTAGACGAAGGACCCGCTCGTCGACACAGGATTCCCAATTAAAACCTTTATAAACATCTGCAAGCCGGAGTGAGCTGCCTTTGATCGTTCCCTGCACTGCTCTTATTTCGCGCTTTCTTGTTTACATCATATTTCACAGTTGTAAACAACACGAAACACAAAAAATTATATATATATATATATATATATTATATATGTGTGTGTGTGTGTGTGTGTGTATATATATTACTTGTGTGCTGCATCTATAACGAGTAGAAACATGACGGGAAATTCAATCGCGGTAAACTGATACAATATTTTGAGTACTCACTTCCGATTTCTACCGGTGGCCCTCAAATTACAAATTACTTTCGAATGTTAGTGGTAAGTTTGCTTGTAAACAAACGTTCCTGCACAAAAAAAGATGTATTGGAAGATCAACTGATGTTTGCAAAGGGAAGGAAGCACGTGGCGTAGGCAAGGGGGCGGGAGAGAGGGTAGTAGTTTGAGCGGTCAGAAACTCCCTAAAATTTTCAAAAGCCCCCCACTGTAACAACCCTCCTATGAGGCGCAGAGAACGGACATACACATCGCAAATGAAACCGAGTAACTGCGGGATTAGCGCCGAAGACTGGCGTTTCTTTGTGTCCCGAAGCTCAAGGATACTTGACCCATTTGAAGAGAGGGCTGGTCCCCGCTTCTTCTTTTCAACGTTGGAACTCTTGCCCACTACAGGATGTGTACACACTGCATCCTCACTCAAGGGAGGTAACAAAATGCAGCACCCACTCTGAAGCTCATCTGGTGCTGTCTTTCGAGACGTCATCTGGTCATTTCTTTGTGTGAAGTACTGGTGGCTATGAGATCGATAAAAATAAGTGCATTTTAAGTTGATTGTGTTAAATAGTTCGTCAGCGAGAATAAAACAGTTACTCTGTGGCGACTTATATTATTTACCGCCATTTCTGAAAAAAAAAATACTGATGCACCACCGATTTTGCCGCCCTTTCCGAAAAAAAGTAATGCACCTCCGATTTCCCCTGGAGCAATTGATACCAGTTTAAAATAAAAACGCTCTATAGGGGATGAATGGGCATTCTAAAAGATTGCGTTAAAAAGTGCTTCTACTTTGCTTCGAGAGTACACTGTATTTATAGTACTTTACTTCAAGTACATTGCACCCGGTGTACTCACTACTTTACTTGAAGTACATAACTTCTCATCTAATTACTTTGCACTTCCAAGTAGTTTTTAGACGTACTTTACGCACCACTGCAAACAGGCAAACACTGTCTGCAAAATCAAGCTCAGGAGTTCTGAACCTCAAAAGAAAAATTATACATCCGCAGTACATCATTGACGAAAAAAAAAAGAAGTACAAAACAATTAGGCATGCAGAAGCAGAACCGCCAGCTATTCAAGCATTTCTGTGAAAACACAAGCAGCTTTTTATTCAGCTAGCAAAATTTCGCTAACGGATTAAAACCTATGTACTTCCTTGTTAGCATAAAAATATAAAAGTAACTTCAAAAGTAATTCACTACTTTTTACGGTAATTAGTAATTTACTGAATAACTTTCCATTTGAGTAATCTCCGCTCAAATTACTTTTAAGGCTAATACTCAGTAACTTAACGTAATTACTTTTTAGTAACTTGTACCAGTTTGTGCATTAGTAAGGCATCATTAATACATATCTTCAATTCTCTCTTCATATTTTATTTTCAATTTACAACTAAAAGTTTTCGGAACAGTGGGACAAACAAGCTTTATTATTTTCCTCTGCTATGACAAACAATATTTTCCATAACTACTGCAGACAAACCTTTTGCAACAGTCTCTTCACTACGCAAGCACGGAGAAATTAAAAATTATACCAAGTACAACAATCCTCAAAACCTCAAAAAGAGTCATACAGTAAACTATAGTTAAGCTTCCACTTTTCAATCTCTTGTCAGTATAACAATTTCTTTTAGTCAGTCCCTGCCTGGGGACGTTGTGCACGCGCTGACTCGAAAATAAATTTTCTAAAGAATTTCAGTGTTGAAATGGTAAAAACACAGGCGAGCTGATGATGGACTTTCATAGCAATCGGAGACATGGAACGATAAAAAAACGGACAAAAAATAAAATTTGTCCGTTTTTTTATCGCTGCGTGTCTCCGGTCACTATGGAAGAATTTCAGAGTATCCGTCAGCATTTCGCTAAGAAATGCAGTTGAAGATGTTCAGCTTTCTGTACATGGCTTGCATTGACGTCACGTCTGCCGCCATTGCTCCGTACCATGCACCTGTGCCCGTAAATTCTGCAGCGTACATTTGGCACCATCTAATCTGTTCTTAATCTTGCCAAGAAGAGCAAATTCTATTTTTGCGAAATGTATGCTGCACAAAGTACGGGCAGAGGAGCATGGTACGGAGCAATGGCGGCTGATACCGTGCCATATGACGTCACATGCAAGGCATGTATAGTCTTTTCAGGTCATCGTCCCGTTAGTTTGATGGACAAATATATCTTGCACTGACTTCACGTGAGCGGCCATTGCGGTGGCCATGCTGCTGAGTGCGTACCTTCTGCGGGAAACATTGTGTATCGGTGAATTTGTTCTTCTCGGCATGAACAGTGCCCACAAACTTAGTGTGATGACGTCACGTGCAAACACGCATAAGGTTGGCAACAAGGTATCCACGGCCAGGGTTCTCACGTTGGGGTATAACTAGGCCATTTGGGCTACTTCTTTTGTAGCTGGAGGGAAAATCTCATGGTTGGTTCTTTTAGGGCAACTGAAAACCAGAGATTCAACCAATTTCAAGCCATTTGGTTTCTAAGCCTTAAACGTTGTATTTTTCAGCTAGGTAGGAAACAAAGATCAATTTAGGAGAGTAAGAAAGGAAACTATCCGAATCATAAGCGTGAAAACACCTCAACCCCCCCCCCCCCCCCAAAAAAAAAAAAAAAAAAAAAAAAAGATCCTGGCTACATTTCAAAAATATCTTGAAGCATAGATTTCACATTATCGAATTTGTTTTTCTCGGTGCTGGTCGCGGGGACACAATCGTTTTTACCTGAAGTACTACCGTCGAAGGTTTTGGGCGAGTTGTAATATCCCAGTGACGTACCTGTGTTCCCTCCGCCACATGGTTCTCAAAATTAGTAATGTTTACTCTCTTTTTTTAATACATGTTATTAGATTGTTTCAAATACATTGTATAAAGCTTTTTTTAGCCTATTTGGGTTATTTTATAGCCCGACATTTGGCGACTTCGGGGCTCTGTCTCACAAACATTTGGCGGATTAACATGCGAGCACCTGGCAACCTTGCCGACGGATGGTACAGAAACGTTCCGCCCAAATGTCCTTCCAACGATCCCAACACCTTGCCCGACTCGCCAGTAACCTCCGGGCCCACGCGTGCGCCGCTGACCGAAATCTCTTCGTTGTGCGCAGCCCCCGACGTGCGATCCCGTGGAATCGGACGCCTGCATGGCCATCTCCGAGTCCTTCCTGACCGGCGCCACGTTCCTGAAACGCGACTGCGCCTGCCCCGTCGGGCGCTACTGCCCGAGCGACCTGCGGATGGCCGCGGACCGCGTCGAGCTGCCCAAGGGCGTCTACTACCTGATGAACTGCGCCTGAAGACCCGTTGCCAGTCGTGCCGGGCACGCCTCGTGTACGGGTCCCTCTGGCGGCCACCAATAAAGACGGCAGCATGCGCCGCCGGTGCACCGTGTCTCCGCACCGCGGCTGCCGTGGCCGACGGGAGACGGGCGACGTTTTTCGTGGCTGCGATTCATCGGGCTCGCTTTTGCTGTCTCTTGCTTTTCAGCGAGCACGCCTGATCGCAGCTCCCGTCCCGCAGCCGGGTGGCGGTCACGTGCCAACCCTGCCCTCAACCCCGGAAAAAAACGCACGCGGCACGCGTTCATTCCGCTTGCCGTCAGAAGAACCCGAGGATCCAGCGAGCGGCGCGTTCCTTCTGTATCAGAGCGAGCCGTTTCGCTCGCTCCGGTGCGGTCAATGCAATACAAGCGGCGCCACCACATAAGAAACCTTTTCGCGCCTCTTTTGGTACAGTATTAAAAAGCATTGCTATACTACACGGTCGCGCTCTATCGTTACTCGTGTCGCGGCAGTCTCAATCTGCCCAGCAACCTCGTCGTCCAAGTCCACTGAGTGCACGGGACTCTACCAACCAGAGCCGTATATGTAGCGAGTTTGGTCATTCGCTGGGGAGTATAGGAGACAAATGAGGAGGCGCCATTGGCCGATAGCGTGCTGGGCGTGTTACAGGCCGTCTTCACAAATTCGAATGTGGCAAACCACAAGCCGGAAATAATAACCTGGCGGTGGTCGTGAGAAACGAAATTAATAAGCACGTCACGGAGTAACTCTCGGTGACTGAAAATATGGTGCACGTGATATGTCAATCACGGTCATCCAAGATCACGGTAGAAGAGCGCGACTAGCGGAACGATCGACATAATCCGTACGCCAGGCGCCGAGGGCCGGGAATCTGCCCTCCGAGCGGTCACACTCTGTCCGAGCAAAACAGTTCGTTGGCACTTTCGTTTCTTAAAACTTTCTGCATGATCATAACCGAACATCAAGTGCACCCTATTTTCAACCATGAAGGGTTACTACATTTAACTCTTACGGACTTATTAAAACCATATACCTATGATTAAAACTGTTTCTGTCTACCACCGCTAGGGGATTCTTTTCGGCTGCTGGTGGGTCAAGAGATCATGTCAAGCCCTCTTTCTGAGTCTGATGCATGCCTTGGCTCTGCCCGCGCCTCCTATTGACCAAACTCTCTCTGTGCACGGCTCTGCTACCAACAACAAAACTCTAGTGTCATCTCTCTCGCTTTCAGAATGCTTTCGTTCCATCTTATCCGTTGCAGCCGAATGGGCGGGTGTCTGCTAGAGTCAGTTGAAGGTCTTGTGAGCCTCACTCCGCAGCCAGGGCGATTTTGGCTTGAGCCAATACTACCTAGAAGAAAGTCTGCGACTTTCCCCCCAAAAGTCATTACTAGTGGATCCACGCCGCGACATCTGCGTCAGCGTGACTTTCAACGAGCGCGACGCTAGCACGCGGCGACGCCAAGACGGACGCTTTGTGACCACTCATGTCGAACTTCGGCGTCCTTGGTGCTTGAGGTCCACTAATGATGATGTCATGCGCAGGCCTTGTCTTCTAAGTGGATAAGAAAGGACGAAACAAGAAGCAAAAGAAACCATGCTCTGCGCTTCTTAAAGGGGCCGTGCAATGACTTTTTGTCTGGATTTTAATTTGCACCGAACCTGAGCGCACTGAACGTAGTAACTTAATGAAACTTTTTTCCTCTCGAATTTCGTTTTATTTTAAAAGTTATAGGCAAATTAAAATTACAAAAGCAAGCAAAAATAACCTTCTTCATGACGTCCTTGGTTGCTTGAGTGGCCGTGAACTAGACGAGGGGTAGTGAGCTCAGCGAGCGGTCACGGCTACCGCACCCCGTGTCGACGACTCGAGAGGGCGCCACTAAAGCATATGCTGGATAGGCTGAATGAAGCGGGCGGCCAAGGCTGCTCGCATTGCATTTGCTGCGCGATTAAAGACTAATTCGGCATAACACTTCATTGGCCACAAACGACAGCAAACACGGGGCAAATATCAGTTCAGAACGGGAGCCACTTCGTGCTGCCATACCGCCAAACGGCCAAACCGCGAACCAAAACTGCTCGCCGACGGCTTTCGGAACGCTCTGAATCGGACGGATCCTTGAGTCCAAACGACCGCAGCGCTGCCGCGTACATCCGGGACCTTCCCACGCTCGCCGCTCGTCGGTGCCTGATCCCACTACCCCTTTCTAGTATGCGCTGCCTTTTCCACCGCTTGGTGGCGGGTATGTCGACTGTTCATTTCTCGTTTTCGGACTTTATAAACTGCATTTGTTTCTTTTCTGATCTAAAATACTGAGCAAAAACTAGTTTTATAAATATTTGAAACGGTTTGCGCCATTTATATTGTGTATTTCGATTAAAAAGAAGCTTTTAGCGTCTCTGACCAGTAGTAAGACCAGGACCAAAAACGTCACGATGTCGTCACATGTCGCGCGCTTTCGGCACCGCGGGTCGCCCCTGTTTTTCGCGTCGACCGGTTAAAATATAACGCGCTGATATTTAGTTACTTTCTCCGTGCCCGCTGGCTTGCCCGAACCCCAAGAGACGTGGAATCCGGAAAAAAGGTACACGCTTAAAGGGACCATGAAATGACCTTTTTAGTTTTGCCCAGATAACTTTTACATTAAACCGTCAATGTTCACTGAATGCCGAACAGGCATCCGTTTTCGTTTCGGTTTATTTACTTGTACACAAAAAATTAATGAAATATCGACTTCTTTCTTTCTCTCCATCTGACCGCGAAACAAGCTGCGGCGTAATTTTGACGGTCGGGACGTACCCTGTTTCCGGAACCGGAAGTTCTCTCGGCAGTAGGAGAATGGGAGCGTTAGCAGCGTTAGCGGCAGTTAGCGGCGGCGAGATGGCGGTGTGCCGGTAGGTTTTACTGCGCTGGTGGCACCGGTGTATTTTCTGAATCGGCGCCTCTCATCACCGCGATAGCCATGGACACATGGCAGCTGAGCGAGATTCAATTAGATACGTTGCACTACAGCAACAGCTTGGGACTAGTCCCATCCGCCGGTATGCCTGTTGGGAAGTGCAGCGAGTCTTCCGGTGAAGACTCCAGAAGTCAACCCAACTGTTATTGTTGGCAAAAGGCGGCCCGCGTCAGTCGTTTGCAAAGTGACGTAGATGGACCTCGGAGATTCAGGAGCGAGCCGACGTTAAAAAAGATCCGTTTGAACTACGAGAGTGTCAGCAAGAGCCACGTAAATACCTGTTCACACTCGGAGCGGACGCGCGCGTTTGATGGAAGTGCTGTATTCGCGCTGTTGGTAAGCGCTTCGGGAGCGATCTTTTACGATTGCAACTCGATACCAGTCTTGAGTAAACTTACCTTTAAAAAGTAATTCGTTACAGTTACTTTCAGAAAAAAGTAGCGAAGTTACCGTTACAGTTACCGCAACAGAAAGGTAACTCGTTACAGTTACAGTTATGTGGTGTAGACCGGCGAACGCGGCCGGAAGGCCGCAGAACAAGAACTGACACGAGGCAGGCACTGGACGCTGACTGATCTTTATCCGATGGTGATGCTCTTATATACAATTGGTAATGCATGAGTTCAGCGCCCTCTATACACAACATATTTCCCCCCTTTAAACAAACAAAACCCCAGTAACTAGAACACAACTTTCACCAATAATTACAGTTATTCACATAGCTCTGGAACCACTATAACAGATAATTCTAGTGTAAAACATAATTATTGTATTTTCCGGGCATTCTTCTTAGTCGCTGAGGCCTGCTGTACGACGGTGCCGTGGTCAACAACTCCTGTTGGCCGGAGATGTCCTGCGCTTCGACTTGCTCTGGAGCTGGCGCCGACTCTGCTGGTGTCGACAAGATTTCAGTCTCCTGAAGTGTAGCGTCTGGAAGTGTCTCAGCACCCCGTGCAGCTTCCGCTCCGTGCGTAGCGACGGTAGCGCTGTCGTCACCTGGCGATAATGTCTCTGGGGTTCTGGCAGTTGCGACGTCCCGTGGTGATGGTAGTTGTGATGCCCCCTCTTCAGTGGGCGAATCCAGGTCGCATAACTGGTCTCTTACCGCTCCACGTCGTTCCATAACTTTTTCTACCAAGTTCCGGGCACCTGGTGCTCCTCCTTTGGCCACTACTGTCAATAGACTACTTCCATAAAGCCCTACATGCAACACGGCGCGCGTTGCACTCTGGGAACTAGTTGGCCAGCCAGGGAGGAGGGTGGCATGGTTTCGGTTCCGATCGACACGTCGACAAGAGATTATACACAGAGCGTGGACTATTAACGGCCGTTATCTCATGCTTTCTGGTCCCGAGAGCGTCATTTGTGGTCTCTAAACTAACCTAAATGGCCAGACCTCGAAGCTTTAGACAAGCCCGAGACGTATAGCTTGTCTTAACTCATGCTTGTTGTATTTTTGTACTTGAGCCTTTCTGTTAGCGTTCCAATCGAGGTATGTGGACGAGCCAGTGCTGGGAATCTCGACGCTGCGAAGCTCGAGGATCTTTCTTGTTTACGAATCAACAAGTTCTAACAACCAATAAGTATGCATACATCGAGCTCGCGCCTTTACATTAGTGTTGTTGATCAGGAAGTTTGTTTCTTTCGTGCGTCCATAGACGAAATATCACTTTTTCAATTACTGTTTTTCTTAATACGCCTAAGTACGCGAGGTAAAACTCGGAGGCGCCATTGAAAAGGTCAATTTTAACACACTTCTTATCTCTTATCTGTATTGACCCGCAGCACTGCACGAAGTGAGGTCCCCACCCGCTTGCATTCCACTAATGTTCAACATGGCGTACGCGCATAAAGTTATCCTGCAATCATATAGGCCAGGGGCGGCCAGGCTGACCCGGCCTAAGAGCCGCAAACAGAACCACGAAACTTCCAAGAGCCGCGGGGGGGGGGGGGGGGGGGGGGGGGTGGGGGGGGCAAACTTTTGTTCAGGGCTAAAAAGAAATCTCGGACTACTTTAAATTTATCCGAGTCATAAGCGGTCCAACTATACACTCCGTGCGGGAACTATAGGGGGCGCTTTGAAAAACGCGCGCAGCGCCGCTAGCGGAGGAGCTGGCGTTCGACTGTGAGGCGCGTTCAGCAGCTTGTGGCGCCTTTTCGCATGCCAAGCTGTGGCGGCGGAAGCGCGCACGGACGAAACTTTTGCTTTTTGAGCCGATAAGTTGAGGGTGCTGGGGCAGAAGGTCATTTAGCTGTTCTCCATTTCTTATATATTGAGTTTGAGTCGTTATTAGAGGTAATTTCTCTAGTTGTGGCCGAAAAGGAGTTGGAGCAATTTTCCGAAAACCAAGACGGCCGCCACCTTAATTGCTCTGAGTGGGAAATTTATTTCGCTCGTCTCTGCAAACAAGGACTGCTGGAACGATGATATTTGGAGGCGAGTGAGATGTTCAATAAGTTTGTGCACGAAGAGTGCCAAGTTTCTTTAAGACA